TGTGTGCTTGGTGACAGTGACATATGGGAGACAATTAAATAACTGCAGTTATGTCCAGGTTAGTGAGGAAACAGATCCCTTTATGAACTAGATTTATACCATGTGTCTGGCACAAACACAGACACAGAGCCCAGGCTGGAAAGGAGCCACACTGACTTCCCACTAAGTTTACAAGCTACCTGTTCACATATACCTTTGGATTTCACTGTCTTACAACCCCACCACCCTGCCCTGGCACTACAGAGCCCTCCCCATTCCCTGTTTGGCATGGAGGTTGTTCTTTAACACAGGATTATTTGGTCTTTAACTTGATGGCTAAAGTCTGGATGTATATTTTACCATCCCAGGGTTTCCAAGCTCAGCTCTTTCCCTCAGACAAGCCCAGCCCAGACAAGCCAGCTGTAATTCTCCCACGGTAGGTGGGCACATTCGGCATTCAGGAATGACACAGAGTTAAATAAATCCCACTCCTGACAGCAAGCAACCCAAAGGCAGTCAATTCTGGTGTGCATCCCCAGCAGCATGACCAGCAAGTCGAAGGAGGTGATCTTGCCCCTCTACTCTGCTCTTGTGAGACCCCACTTGGAGTATTGTGTGCAGTTCTGGTGTCCTCAACATAAAAAGGACATGGAACTGCTGGAACAAGTACAGAGGAGGCCACGAGGATGATCAGGGGCTGGAGCACCTCCCGTATGAAAACAGGCTGAGAAAGTTGGGGCTGTTCAGCCTGGAGAAGAGAAGGCTGCGTGGAGACCTCATAGCAGCCTTCCAGTATCTGAAGGGGCCTATAAGGATGCTGGGGAGGGACTCTTCATTAGGGACTGTAGTGACAGGACAAGGGGCAATGGGTTTATTAAACAGGGGAAGTTCAGGTTAGATAGAAGGAAGAGGTTCTTTACTGTGAGGATGGTGAGGCACTGGCACAGGTTGCCCAGAGAAGCTGTGGCTGCCCCATCGCTGGCAGTGTTCAAGGCCAGGTTGGACAGTGCTTGGAGCAACCTGGTCTAGTGGAAGGTGTCTCTGCCTATGGCAGGGAGTTTAGACTGGCTGAGCTTTGAAGTCCCTTCCAGCCCAAACCAGTATGGGATTCTGTGAATCAGCTTGGCATTAAGGTTTGTCCTGCTATGGAAAATGCAAGCCATTGGGAAATGGCAGCAGGATGCAGTGGAATCGCTGTGGGGATGGGCTGGGATACACCTACCAGTTAAGAACCAGCCTGAAGGAGATCAGCCCAACCCCATGTCCTCCTCTCAGCCAGCTTGTACCAAGGGCACGAGAGACAGAGCAGCTGGGGAAAGACAGAGGCAGTAATGGAGGAAGCAGCCTTGCACCATTCCATGGCTCCTTCCAGCAATCCCAGGGGCAGAGCACTGCCTATTTTCAGTTCCCAGGGTAGCTGAAATACCACCGTGATATTCATTAACGACAGGCCTGCTGGATGGGAGCTGCAAGGCCAGGCTGGGAGGCTGTTTGGTCTGGTTTGTTTTGCTTTATTTAATTGCTGGCTTGAGTACAGAGACAGAGCGTGGCAGGAGGCTCGGCTCCTCTCACCTCAGGAAAAGCAGGAGCACCAGACTCAGGGGAGGTGGGAAAGGAAAAGTCAATCAGGCAGTATTTAGAAATCTACCTGCTGAGCCCAGGGTGGGGCTGGAGATTTTAATGTCATTCCCAGCTTGAGATGCAGCCTGGAGAGTGAGAAAAGAAAGGGAGATCTTCTGTTCTTGAATCCTTAATTGCTCGTTAAATCATCTCACAAATGCCTGAACTCCTGGATGGCTCCATACTCCTTGACAGAGGGACTTCATCCTTGGCAGGGAGGGGGGGTGCTTTGAGAAATACTCACCTCACCTTCTTTTCTTGGGTCTTTAAAACTGAGAGTTCAATGGTTCAGTTTGCAGAATGAAACTTCAGACTGAAATATTTCTGTTGCCATTCAGCAGCAGCAATAAACTTCCCTTGCTCCAGCCTACCCTGCAGACAGCTGCCTGCACTGCAGGAGGGCAGCTCTGCCGTCCCCAGAAGGGATCTCGAGTGACTGCAGAGGAGCGTGTACCAAAATAACCCCCTGTCCTTCAAGCTCAGCCCCACTTCTGGCCCAAGCAGACCTGGTAACCACAGCCAGAGGTGCCTGTCCCTGGTCATTCCTTTTCTGCCCTGTCACTGCTGTTCATCCATGTCTTCTGCTCAAACGCTCTTGCTTCAGATTTTAAATCATGGGACTGCCACAAATCTCAGTAGTGGGAGTGGTGAGGCAGCTACTTCCCAGCACAGAAATGAGATGGCCGTGCTGTTCCTTCTCATGCTTTGCAGAAAGAAGCCTGCAGTTAAATCTGAAAAGCTTAGAAAAAGCCCACGCCCTGCCTGTAGCAGCTGGAGAGATTCAGATGTGCTTTGTGATCACAGACAGGTGGACAGATCTGTGATTTACACATATGAATAATCCCCCCAACAGTCAAGATAACATAAGAAAGACCTCCTCCCTACCTAGGTGAAGGCATGGATGCTTTTGTGCACCACCCATGCAGAAGAAACAGGGTCATGCCAGAGTGCAGTCCCAAGCGTACTGGCCATTAGCAGGTCATGTGTTATGTAGAGTCTGTGAAAAGAGCAGATTATCAGCTCCAGCAGAACAGGCAAACTGTACTGATGATTTATGAATATTCACTGAGCTCACAAAGCACTCCAGGGCAGAAAACAAGCTTTTGAAATTAACTGAACTCCTCAAGGTTCTTTGTTTGTCTTGACTTTGAGGTATGAGTCATCAACATTATTTCTCCAGAACAAGCAGAGTCTACAGAGGGCTGGGAGGAATCCTGGGCACCAAAAGTTAAGTATTTTGCAAGAAAGACTTTATGAACATGAAGTCTTCGAAGCATAGAGACTCCACCCCATTAAATTTTATGGAATGGTGTCTCCATACAACACAGACTTCTTCAGCCCATAAAGATGTTTAGGGGACTTGAGGCTCTTTCTCTGAGCATTGAAATTTCCACCAGCTTCAGTCTCCACCAATTTGGTGCTCTGTAACTTTTCAATAATTTCAATATTCAATAACAAAAGGCTGCAGATGAGTTTTGCTCCTATCCATGCAGGCCATGCCATACACTTCATTGTTCCCACCAATGCAATTAAATTAATGTGGTGCTATCCAACACTGGTGCTCTTCTAATTGCACCCATGAGCTAAGAAATAATCTGCTTGCTTTGCCCCAAAACCTGTAACACCTTGTCCCCAGTGCTCTAGCAGTACCCAGGGAGAGCAACCCATTCAGCAGTTGGGTTGTTCCTATCATAGCTGCCAACTCTGAGCAATAGCCAGGAGCAGCAGCAGCAGCACCTGGCAGTGCACAGGAACAGGACAGAGCCTGTTGTAGCCAGGAAGGTTGTAGGAGCTGCTCCCTAGCAGGCAGTGCATGGGCTCCCCAGGAGCTGCATGCTCAGCTGTGGGTGCCTTTTGCTGTGATGAAGAGGGGTTGTCTGTCCACGGGACAGTGACAGCAAAGCGTGGGAACTGCCTACTCTCCCCTTTCTGAGAAGACTTATACCTGTATTTGTCCAAGAATGGGTTCTATCTCAGACAAGAGAAAAGGTAATAAAACAAGGTGGTTGTCTTCACTGCTTTGCTGTAAGCGCACATAAGGAATAGCAGAATGGTTTGGGTTGGAAGGGTTCCACCCCCCTGCCACAACAGGCAGGAACACCTTCCACTAGAGCAGGTTGCTCCAAGCCCCGTCCAACCTGGCCTTGAACACTGCCAGGGATGGGGCAGCCACAGCTTCTCTGGGTAACCTGTGCCAGGGCCTCACCACCCTCACAGGGAAGAACTTCTGTCTAAGATCTCATCTCAATCTCTCCTCTGTTAGTTTAAAACCATTCCTCCTTTTCCTGTCTCTACAGGCCCTTGTCAAAAGCCCCTCTGCAGACTTCTAGTAAGCCCCCTTTAGGTATTTCTCTAAGGTCTCCCCTGAGCCTTCTTTTCTCCAGGCTGAACAAATCAGAACAAATAGATGCTCCACTTTTTCCATTAATTACAGCAGTAACAATTGGTTTTTTTCAGCTGGTAGAAATATGAGACTACTCCAACATATCCAAAGTCATGAGAGAAAAACTCTGCAGATTAGTCAACATCCCTGGGGCTCCTGAAGCCTGGGGGGTGTGGGATGTGAGAGATCCACTTACCACAAAGCAGGCAGAGGGGGACATGAATTTGGGTGCCTGTGCTTTGCAAACAAGGGAAGCATCAGCCATTGGGGACTATTACAGTAGGGATGAACTCAATGTTCCGAGTCTGTCTAGACGTTCCCATCCTAAATCTGAGACATCTTCCAGACCTGAGTTGTGTTAGGAAAAGCTGCCATTCCAGCAACTCACATATTTCTACCCAAAAAGATTCCATCTGCAAGCAGCCAGCTGGCCCAGCCCTCACTGCCATACTCCTTAACCATGGGAGATTCCTCTCCCTGTGAGTCATAAAGCAAGACAGCCAGCCAAGGTATTCAGTATTACCATGAATTAGCCCCTGTGGCAGGGGCTTAGAGCAAAGAACAAGAATTCAGGAAGAGCAATAAACCAGCATCTGAAATAATTTTTCTGGAGCATTTCTGATGTGCTTTGTGATACAAATGGCCCCTACTTCAGCAAAGTTAAACCAGGCATCACTGCACAATATGTGTCCCTTTGCTAACAATTTAAAATGTCCTTGTACATAGATGGCTTCCTTTCTTTTCCCAAGAAACTCCACACATCCACAGTGCCAACTGGTTTGACTGCTGAATAGAAGTATTTGTTGATGTGAGGTGGATTGCACAAATAATCTCTTTCCTTGTGGCTTTCTTGTTCCATCCTCCTTTTTTGCCTTCTGCTGGATCATATGGTATGGATCCTAAAGGCTGCAAAATGCAGCCTCTTTACTCCTCATGGTTTCATGAACTGTTTCTGAAATCTCTGGCTCCCAAATCTCCTTTAAGCATCTATGTGATCTCTCTTTTCCTTTCTCTGCAGGCTGATGCCAAGATGGTCTGCGATGTTGTAAGTCGGATGGAGGACACAGAGCCCTTCTCTCCGGAGCTGCTGTCAGCTATGATGAGACTCTGGGCAGACTCTGGGATCCAAGAATGCTTCAACCGGTCCCGCGAATATCAACTTAATGACTCGGCCCAATAGTGAGTATCTCTGTCCATAGTTTTTGGCGTTGAAATTGTAACTAAAATTAAGGACCTCATAGCAGTGGATCTGAACATGATTCTGCTTACAGACTGGGATGTGTGTTGCGTCACAGGCTGCAGCAAGGCAGAAAGGATCAGGCAGGACATTCAAGTCCCCTGTGGCCAGCCTGGGGTCAGGTCCATGACCTGAAGACCAGGTTCCCAAACTACTCCCAAACAGCTCAAAGTAGGTTTCTGTAAACACAGATCTAGTCAGCAGAGACAAACCAACTTGTGGACGTGGCTGGTGGCTTCTTCATTTGTCTGATACATAACAGAAGGGTAGGATTACCTGCTGTGTATAGTAGTACATCTCTTGGGTTTGCTTTTCTAATAGTCATACACTGTACTGGTAGGCAGCTGTCCTACCACCAGGGGTAAGAGATGGCTTTGCTTTTACAGTCTCATAGTGTTCTCATAATATAGTCAGTGGTATCTCTACCATTAGATATTTTCTAGTGTTGATTGTCTGAATCCATAACTTTGGTTCATCTCATCGTAAGGACAGAAAATCTACTTGTAAACGGCCGCTCTGGCTCTGAAGAAATGTTGAGTGCCTCCCCAGTTTCAGTTCAGAACCATTTCTAATGGTAATTCATCCAGTCTGTTTGCCTCCACCTAGGCAAGGAGGCTAAAGCCTTTCATTCCATAATTTCAACTGCAGCAGCTGTAGTAGTCAGGCAAAACATCACAAGGCCCTGTACTGTGTCTTGGGAGTAGTCACTAACATAGTTAAGTATGAGCATAAGGAACAAGCAAGCACAGAGAGATCATTTCCCCATTTATACCTTGGACTTTTTGGCAGTCAGGGAAATAGAGGCTTCCCCAGATGGTGGCAGGGGAGTGCTACATCCATGCTTTTGGCTTTCACATTACCCCATGTCAACAAGTTCACCAGCTGACTCACACACTTTGGGAGTTGTTATTGTGTGTTTCGATTGTCTGGCTTTGCTGTGCAGGGTTTTTCTGGGTACCTATCAAAACATGAACCCAAGCACCAGCATGGCTGATGGTTTTGTTCTGTGTGGTGGGCCTGATCATCCCCAGTCTGCACAAGCTTCTCCGGTCAAAGCTGGCAGGGCAGCTGGGGAGTGCAGGATTGTTTCTGCTCTTGTGGTGCTGCAGGAGAAGGAGGGTGATGACACATCTCTTGGCACTGACCAAAAACCAAATGGGAAACCTGCAGATATGTAGTTGGTGTCACAGCATCCCACCCAGCCATTTCTCATCAAAAGCAACTACATCTCAGTGCTGATCCTGACATTAATGCTGCCTTTTAATCACTAATAGGTGGACGTTTGTGTTTCATCTGTATTTCATTGCCTGTAATAGCAAACTTATCCTTATCTTACCAGCATTTTTTTTTTCCTCACAGAAGAAGGGTTTGATGGCATAAACATACCTTTAGAGATATAAATTATATAAAATGCCAGTCCTAATTGCATTACAACCTTGTGGAAAGTTCTTCAATTGTTTTAGAGCCAATTACTTTGAGGAAAGTGTTTTGATTTTCTTTCCATGTGAGATAGCAGTTGAAAATAATAAGCAGCGCCCTCCTAGTGTGACCAGCTGCTGGACAATTCATCAACAAGAGTTCTGAAACCACAAGCAGTTTCTAGACTTCAAACAAGGAGGCTCTGTGTTGTGGTATTCACAGCAATATCAGTGTGCAGTTGCAGCCCAGCAAAAGAAATCCTCCTTGCAAGGGGAGGGCTGTACTGCCTCTCCTTCACTACGCTCTGAGTCATGCTGTGGCTGGACACCCCTTTTCTCTGGGCTAGGTCAGATGGTGAAGCTGAAGGTAACAAGTTCCTTCACATTTAGGCACCTGCTGGCATTTAGGTGCCTCTTGTGGTTCTGTGCCCAGAAGCAGAGATGCTGTCTCATGGCAGGGCAGTGTAACATGTCCTGCTGCACCTTGAGGCCTTGGTGCCATCACACCAGATGGTGATGCAAGTGAGAGCTCAGTTGGCATTTATTCACACCCGGTGGACTCCAGTGAAAAGAGGCATATTTTTCATTTAATCCTTCAATGCTTTGAGGTCGTTTTTCTTCTGCATGAGTGAAAGATTTGGGACATTTTTCTATGTTTCCTTCTTCACCCCTGCTGCCACTTCCCCCCACCCCAGGAAAGGGCTTATCTTTATTGACACTGGTATGTGATTTAAAACACTAGCAACTGTAAAATATGTCTTCAGTTGGGGCTGAATTTAGGAAGCTGAATCTGAAGTTCCCCAAAATCTGCAAAACTGGACTAGCATCATTCTTACTTCAGGCTTCGCTTGGTGTTAAGCCATAGAGTTTGGTGTTTTGCTGGCTGGAGGGAAGCTTGCTGCAGGAGACGGATATCACACTCCAGGGCTGCTCAGTACATGTCACAAAGCCCAGAAGCACCAAGTGACCATGTCCTGTCATTGCCAGCATAGGTGGGACCTTCAGGAGTGATTCAGGCACTTCATCCCAGAAACCACACACTGACTGCTTTTCAGAACCCACTCCACTGCCTGGCTATTTCTAAGGAACCACCATTTGGGCTTCTCTGAGTCAGTGCTGCTGCTGTCCCACATTGCTCTTTCAGTGCTTTACCTTGAGGTTTTATTAATGGCTCAAACAACAGGCCTGTTACAGCCCTTGGGAGACCAAGTCACAGCCTGCCAGAGCTAGCAGCACAGCTCATACTAGTCTAGCACTGATTTCACTGACAATAGATGCAATATTTTATATTAGCCTAAACAGGAAGTGAGTACTGGTGCTCCTATAAAAGATGGGCAGGAGTGCGTTGCTTTCTACTCTCCCATGCACACCTGCCTACTGATGTGGACTTCCTTGCAAAGCTTTGATTCTTTTAGGCTTTAAAGTCAGCCTGTCCTTAGCAAGGATTTCATAGCTACTGCAGAGGAACAGCAGAAAACAGCACTTTTGCAAAGAAAAAACATGGCTGAGGAAGGTGGGAGGTTTTGTAATGGGTCTCTTGTGTCTTGGACTGCAAAAAAGTAAAACCATAAGGACAGAAGGAGAAGGGAAGAGAGTAAGACGGAGCAGTTGGTTTCATCTTTTTTCATTACTGCATTTTTTAATCATTCCCTAAGGCAAATTTATGGGTGGGTTGGGTTCCACACTCCTAATCTCTTGATTATGTTTTTATTCCTACTTCGTCTCCTCTTTCTTGTCTCCATGCCTAGGAGCTATATCTACCTCTGATCATCAAAGACTCTGGGCACTGCTGATGTCTTTTTCTTCTTTAGCCAGTTTCTGTCTGTGGAATCACATCTGTGACCCACATTTTGCTTTCAAAATGAGCAAAATAGAGGTTTCCAGCTGGTTTCCTTAATCTCCTACTTTTGTTCAGATTTTAAAATTGTTTTGTACTTCCTGGCCTCGAGTTCCTAACTAGCCTGGTCAGTGAAGCATAGTGCATAGGGCAAATTTGAAATTAACCACATGGGGTTGGGGACCTGCTTTGAGCAGCCTCTAAACTTCAGGAAGGAGGGGAATGGAGCAGACACAGCATTCACACAAACACTGGTTTTCCATGTGCATATACAAACAGGAGCAGACCCTGTAAGATGTGTAGGCAGGGACAGTTTGCAAGTACACAGACACAAAAAAGCCAGACTCCATCTCAAGTTATTCTCCTGCTTCCAAGTACGCTGAAAGATCATTTGATAATACCAGGGCTGTGAAACTACCGTGAAAATGTAAAATATTTTTAGGCCTGCATTCAACCCATCCATCTTCACACATATCAGAGGTGTCGGGGCTAGGAAGCTTGTTGTCTTTGGCTCTCTCTGTAGGGAGTGAAGGGAGGGAGAGATGCCTCTGGAGAGGGATACAAACCTCACTGCTGAAGAAAAAGAGATGCAATTGCATCTGCTGCTTTACCATAGCTTATCACAGGCCTGACGTCTCAAGTCTGTGCCAAATACCAAGCCCAAACTGGACAACACTTTGGTCACTCCATCTTCCAGAACAGTTCTGGCAGTGCCTTATAGAAAAGCAGCACCAAACGCAGAATAAAATACCTCAGTGCCTTCTTTATTACCCTGTCTTGTGTGGGACTGTTTTCAGGTCTCTTCCTTGCAAAGGAATTGTTTTTGCATGACGGTGTCACTTCTCTACTGTTACTTATTGCATCCCACATGCCAACAACACACTTTGCATCAAGAAAGCAGTTAAGGAAGTAGAGGCAGATGCTGTTGTGATGTGGTGAGTGGCTTCCACAGTGAGCCCTGACAAGGCAGCATTGGAACACAGTGCCCAGAGAGGCTGTAAAATCTCTGTCCTTGGAAATACTCCACACTGAGCCACCTGAGCTAACTTACAAACTGAATTTAACTCTGAAGCTGACCCTGCTTTGAACAGGGTATTGGTCCAGAGGAACTCCGGAGGTCCAATCCAGTCACTTTTGAGTTTGTCTTTGCTTTTTTAACCCTTGCTTTCTCTCATGACACTATGTTTAAAAGAGAGGTCTTCAGGGTTGGCTGCAGTCCCTGTTCCTAGCCATGCAGGACCATGCAGCTCTGTGATAATAGACCACAAAACTTGCAGGACATGGGCATTATGAATGACTGGCAGGACATGGTCCGTTTTAATGAGCTGCAATTGTTGCTAGCTCTCTCAGACTGAAGAAAGAAAAATTATAGGTCAAGGTTTTGCATTAATATTACTGTCAGGTACATAGATTCCATTTTCTTATCGCAGCTTCTGCCTTAGAATATGGTTTTCTGCGAGCCTGTCCTACTTGTGCCTGTCACTGCACTCCCTTGCATTTAATTGGAAGGAGTAGCAGCAGAAATGGAACAATCCAATTAATTGGGATAACTTGCATTGTACTGTTTATTGAACAGCCCACCATTGTGTTTTGGAGCCCAATTGCCCATAAAGCAGAAAGGGAAAGTGCATCAATAAATACATTTGTCGATACATTTGTCTGAATTTATGGTTTAACTTACCCCTGT